CAGGACAACCGGTTAGTTGGGACCCCAGATACTTCATAAATTTTCAACACGTACTAGTCTTCTCATGAAAGCTTCTTGGCATATCTACTGGCAGCTCATCACAGGATCAGTTAGTTGTAGACTTAATGAGAGATGAGTCACTGATTTGCCACCATTATTGGCCAGTGACTGCTGAGACCTGCCTCTGGGGTAGGAGGTGACCTGAAGGACACACACTCACCAGCAGGCTTTGCCCCAAAGTCTCCCTGCCTGGCACTCTTGTTCTGCATTCATAGTGGAGCTCAAAGAGTATGTATTACTCCATCTTTCATCACTATAATCAAATACCTGGAGCAGGCTACCTTTATGAAGAAAAGGGGTTTGTTTGTTTTGGTTCATATTCTAAAGTTGGAAGGTTAAGGGGCCACATCTGGCCTTCTTGCTGGCAGAGCACTGCTGTAGCACAGAGCATTACGTGGAGAGACAAGGAACATGAATGTGTTCCTGTGTCTTCTGGTCTCTGTCTCTTCTTATAAAGCCATCATGATTCAGCCACAGGGGCTCCCTGATGACCTACCCAAATCACCCCCAAAGACCCAACTTCTTAACACTACAGTGGGGTTAAGTTGCCACCTTCTTCATACCACAAACACAACACTTCAAGGCTAAAGTTCTGCATGAGTGTGGGAGACACAAGCCATAGTCACCACAGCAGAATGTTTTCTCACAGGGATTGCGGCCACATTTAACACTGGAGAGTAGACACAAGCTACCTCAGCTCCCAAGATATATACCTGCCATGGGATCCAGCTTCCTCCATGCTCTCAGTTAACTATGAACTAAAAAGATTCCTTTGTGTCCTAAGTTACTTTTTGATGTTTGTGGCATTCCTGTGGATTCTATTCTGATTTTACTCCATGAAACCTTGGCAATGACGTGCTCCCTAGCATATCAAAGGGCTTGGTACACACTGCCCTTATGTTTCCCCTTTATTTGGCAGCAAATAGGCCCTAACACTTAAAATGAGGCACCAGACACAGGGAACACAGCCATAAGTAATGGGGCCTCTGAAAGTTAGAGAACCCAGACTTGAAATAGACAACCAGGTTTCAAATCCTGGTTCTGCCACCGATTGACTGACCTCAGGCAACTAAGGTTTTATTTTGTTGGTTTTACAAAGAATTCTATTATTTTGCTGAGTTAAGCAATATATACTTACTTTTTCTTTTTTTTCTCCAAAATTGTTTTGGCTATTCTCACTTTGTTTTCTAAATATGATTTTGGAGAAACTGACACTGTGGTGATATTAAATCTTTCCATCAGTGAATGTCTTCTGAGCAAATGTTTAGATTCCATTATTCTTCAGATAGATAGTAGAGACTTATTAAATTTGCTCCTAACCATTGTGTGATTTTTATAGCTAGTGTGAATTTTTTTTCACTATGTAGGGCTATTTGATACATAAGGAAGATTTACACACACACACACACACAGAGTAAAGCTACTAATTTTTTATAAAGTATACCTATCTAATTCATTCATCTTACCAAATTGTCCTGTTGCTGAGTTTATCACTGTTCAGGAAAAAAGTTCTCATTTCCTCTATTTTTACCAATTACTTTATTTCCTTGCATTAACTTGACCTTGTGAAATAGTATTCTTAAGTCCACTTGCAGCCTGCTGAGGAATAGCATAGTGTAAGGAACATGGGCTTTGAGGATAGAGTCCCAAGCCCCAATCTCAGCTCAGCTTCTGCCACAGGGACCCATACAACAGGAATGTATGCATTTTAATAACCCCCTTTATAGCTGTGTTGTCCAGATCTGACCCTGCAGCAACAGAGGGAAGGTACTTGACCCCCATGTAGGAAAAGAGGCTGAAAATATATTTAGTTTGGAACAGGTAATTTTCGTTAGCTGCCACACACACACACAAAAATTGCTATCTACTGGTCATCATTACTAGACCAGATGTTGGAAGTAGGGGGAAGGCCAGAGGGTTGGACCACAGACCTAAGCAAAATACACACAACTGGCAGTGAGGAGACGTAGTACCACTGAATTCTGGAATGCCATAGAAGGTGGGCAGAGCTGAGGGGAGAGAGTCACCAGAGCTGGAGAGGTAACAGGGTTTCTTGGCATTAGCTCACAAAGCACCTGCCATGGTAGATGATGCAGCTGTAGCAGGGCCCTGAGTCCCACTGCAGTCCTACCCTATGTAAAATCTGTGACCCTACCTCACAATCCCACTCTGACAGAGGCTTTGGGGGAGCCCTCAGAGCTCAGTGGGAGCCAGGAACCCCTCAGCCCACTGCCAGCAAGTCACCTGACATATGCTCCAACAGAACTCAGCAAGTGACTAAGAAGGAAATCAAAATGGTAAGAAATTACTAAAAATAAAAACCCTTCATGGCCTGATTTTTTAAATTATTGGATATTTCAAATCAGAACTAAAAATGAATTTTCCTTTTATCCTCTACCTACTACGTAAAAAAATTACTTTTTTCCATAAAACAAAGAAGTTATCACCTTAGCTATGACTGAAACCAGGAACTCTCTCACACACACACACCAGGAACTCTCACACACACACACACCAGGAACTCTCTCTCTCACACACACACACACACACACACACCAGGAACTCTCACACACACACACACCAGGAACTCTCTCTCTCTCTCTCTCACACACACCAGGAACTCTCTCTCTCTCTCTCTCTCTCTCTCTCTCTCTCTCACACACACACACACACACACACACACACACACACACACACACACACACACACCAGGAACTCTCACACACACACCAGGAACTCTCTCACACACACACACACACACACCAGGAACTCTCTCACACACACACACACCAGGAACTCTCTCACACACACACACACCAGGAACTCTCTCACACACTCACACACACACCAGGAACTCTCTCTCTCACACACACACACACACACACTCTCTCTCTCTCTCTCTCTCTCTCTCTCTCTCTCTCTCTCTCTCTACGTGTATAACTTGCAATATGTAACTCCAGGTTCCTATTACTGCTGTAACCAACTACCACAAATGTAGTGACTTAAATTCATTATCTTACATGTCTGGAAGTCAGAGGTCAAAATGGTTCTGCCACCAGAACTGTACCCTTCTGGAACTCTACAAGAGATCTGTTTCTGTCTTTTCTGGATTCCAAACGTTTTTAAGCCCCTCCTCAATCTTCAAAGCCAGCAACATCTGGTCCAGGTTTATTCATGCTGCCATCCCTTCTCTGGTGCTCCCTCTCCTAAGGACCCTGGCAATGACAGTGGGCCTACCCAGAATGACTCAGGTTAAAATTGCTACTATAAGGTCAGCTGACAAGTAGCCTCCATTCCGTGTACATTTTGGAGACCCATTATTCTGCCAACCATGCTTGGTAAGCCTGTTTTCTCCAACAAGGAAAGGATATGGAGCTACTGGAAGAATTCCATGAGCTAACATGAAAACACTGGCAAGCATGGTGTCATTTTTCCAGTTTTTGAGTGATTTGACCTTGATGGAGCTTGGTCTGAGGCTTGAACTAACCCATGCCCTTACCTTCATCCTCCCCCATCACCCACCTGGATTAGGTACAATTCAGATAATTGAGAATGATGCTTTCGTCAAAACCAACCATCCATTTGGTCCTTGGCTCTCTGGTGAGTGATATGTGGGATGCATAGGCACAGTGTGTATGAAGACAGAGCCATTCCCAACAGGTGTGCACAAAATGATTAGGCTTGGCCTACCTGCCTGAGAGCAGAGAAAGTTTACTGAGTTTCCAAAATAATAAGGTTAGTGAAATTACTCTCATTAGAATTCCAAAACAGTAAATTCAAAGACAATTACATACAATATTTTATCAATAAAATATGCAGGGTTTTTTTAATTACTGTTATTTCTAAGATGTTATTTAAGCTTTGCTCTCTTCTTGGCCAGACGTTCCACTTAACAACTGATGGACAAGACAGACCATGTGCATCAAGAACTCAGAATTTAACCATTTCAATTATTCAATCAAAAAGTTATTCAACATCTGAGAGAAGGCCCAAGTAAAGATAAGTATGTAATGCCTTATGTAATTATAAACCACTGTAAGAAATAAATTACATAGATGAAAGTTAGTAATTAAGGATATTATTCCACTGTATCTTTTCATCACAAAGGTTTACCCACATTATCACTATAATTAGTACAACTTTATATTGGAAAAACAAACTTTATTTCAACTTAATATTTGATATCTTCAAAGGAAGGAGGAGCTTTATATCTATCTTTAGAATCAAGATGAAAGTTTCCTTTCGTCTTTAATTACAGATTGAAAGAAATATATACTTTGATTTTGTTTGAGATGTTAGGTTTTGGAAGGACCTTACATATCCGTCCTTGGGTTCCCCAGGGTCCAGAGAGCCTCCAGAAACAAGTCCACATTGCCACCTGGTGGAAGGATCAAGTTTTACAACTGATTTTGATGGATTTAACTTATTAAAAAGTGAAAAGAATGTGTTTTTTGGTACATAATGGTTTAACTTCAGGAAAAATGAAATGATACTAACGGGCAGGGTGTTGGGAGATGCCTAATTAAAATAAAAACACTTTTTGAGCACCAAATATTTCTGTGGCTTCTTAGAAAATTCACAAACCTCATTCTTTCTGCTCAACCTAAAACGCAATGAAAAAGGAGCCCCTGGATGGAAAGACCAGTGACAGTCAGTCAAAATAAAACTAGTAAAGTCCCAAAGATTAGGAAACCAAATAGTGATCCCCTAACAGGTGCTTATGCTTTCCAAGTTTCAGTTCCTGGCAATCAACTACATTCTGAAAATGTTAAATGAAATTTCCAAATATTCATGGATTTTTCTGTTTGGTTGGTTTTTGGTTTTGGCAGAATTGGGGTTTGAACTCAGGACCTTATGCTTGCTAGACAAGTGCTCTACCACTGGAGCCACACCTGCAAACCCTTTTTGCTTTATTTATTTTTCAGGTATTTTTCTCTTGGGTTTTTTTTTTATTGTTGTTTTGTTTTTTTGCCAAGGCCAATCTCAGACTGTGATCCTTGTGGGATCACAGGAGTGAGCCACTAGGTCCAGCCCTATAATCCATGTTTTAAGCTGTGCATCATTTTGAGTAGTGTGATGAAATCTCACAATGTCCTGCAAAATCTATTCTAGGATATACATCAACCATTTGGGCAGTCTATCAGTTGCTTAGCAGCCATCTCAGTTATCCAAACTTCTGCCCCAGTATGGCAGTGTTGTGTTAAAGTAGCTCCAAAGCTCAAGCATAGTGATGCTGGCAATTTGGATATGCCAAAGAGAAGCCATAAGTGAACAGGTCAAAGTACAATAAGGTATATTTAGAAAGAGAATTATTCACATAACTTTTATTAGTTGTTATATTGTAGATAATATCTTATTGTGCCTAATTTGTAAATTAAACATTATCATCAGAAAAACCATAAACATATACACACATACACAAATCAAGTGATTTGATAGTGAGGTTTCAGATACCCACTAAGATCATGGAAATATCCCCAGAAGATAAGGGGGTTTACTGGATGTACTATTTTTGAAACCTAAAAGTTCCAAGCATAGGTAATTCTGGAATCTAATAAATGCTTTAGGTATCCATTTCAAACCTATCACACTTAAAATACGAATTTTTTAAGAAAAAGTGATTTAGCTCAATAGCCAGTAGTTCATGAACAGAGAGAATGCCAAGCCTTGCTTAGTGTGCTGGTGGAATTGGAGTAATATGATGCGGAAATGAGACAGGAGCAGTAAGACACCAGTGGCCTCTAGCAGCTGGAAAAGGAAAGGATGGTGTCTCCCGGGAGCCTCCAAAAGGAAGATCTTTGAGCCTCTGAAATAGATTTTAAGATAATAAATATGTGTTCTTCTAATCATTAAATTTGTGCTAATCTTTTATAGCCACAATAGGAAACTAATAGAGTTTCCCAGAGGAAATCCAGAGAATAAAGAAGGAAGAGGGAATGAGGTCTGGTTGCACAAACAAATGTCCTACAGGCACCCTGAGCAAGCTCCCCTTGTCACTCTCCACCCTTCCTGTCCTCACTAATGACTCTAAGGGCTATGAGAGCAGTATTCGCCTAGTCTGGGGAAGAATGCTATCAAGTGCTCACTACAACCTGATGGACTGTCACCTTCAGAAAGCTTGTTTCTATTAACATATATTAGTTTCAGAATCAAGTTTTCCAGCTTGCTGGGGTTCCACCCAGCAAATCAATTGAATCAAATCAGTGCAACTTCAAGTCCTTTCTCCAAATAAGATCAGTTGTAAGTGAGCATCTCCACAAATGAGAAAAGAGTAGAACTTGATTGCTTTTGACAAACTTCCTGTACCTGTTCAAATAAACAGAAAGGAGGCCTAGTCCAAAAATAAAAAAGGAAAAAAATTATGCAGGTCCTCAGTTGTCATGGTCCTAAGCAAAAGTACTTGTAAAATTAATTTACAAAACACAGAAAACAAATTTTATCCAAAGACCTGAGAGTCGACTACAAGATTTGGACACCATTTTTACACACACATGAAAAAAAAGCTCCAAATACTTTCTGCCAATATTCAAATATTTATCCAAATAAAACTAATCTGTTTTGTATCTAATGTTGATGATTTTAACAATGATCACTGGGTTCTAAATGAACCACTGCTGCTATTTCTCAAAGTCACTACAGCGCCATGTGAACAGCAGGAGGGTGGGAAGAACCACCTCAGCTGGCTTTCATGTCTACTCTGTAAAAATTAAACATGCATACAGCAGATCTTGCCAAAAAAGAAAAAAGAATTTTGGGAATGAGAACACTTACATTTCAGCATTTTGGAGACAATTTTCAACAAGAATGGTAATAATTATTGTTAGGAGAATTAAGGTCAATAATAACGAGCATTTATAAAGTTAACTTTGTGCCCGTCACAATTTCCAGCACTCTACAACACTGAAATTTTTAAATACTTTTTCCACACACAAGGAATCTAAGGCAATAACATTGCACATTTGCCCTTTGCCCTAAACTATGGCAAAGCCAGCATCAAACCCACGCAGTATGATTCAAGTTTTAACCTCCTCTCTCCTACAAATGAGGGTCCGATGAGCACCAAGTGCCTATAGACTCAGTTTTGAAGGTCTCCAGCCAAGAAACAATTCTTTAATCATGAGGAAAAATCAAAGAAAGCCTACATGAGAAACACTCTCTTTTAAAAGGTGAGAGTAGTGAGTGACTATATTCTTCAAAAACATAAATGTAGCCAGGTGAAGTGGTGCACACTGTAATCCCAGCCCTAGGAAGGCAGAGGCAGGAGGATCTCAAGTTCATAATCAACGTGGGATATGTAGCAAGAACATGTCTTAAAATATATCAATGTAATAAAACACAAAGAATAAGGAACTATTCAGAACTATTTCAGATTAAGAAAGACTTAACAACTAATGCAACATGTGACCCCAGAATGGTTCTTATACCAGAAGGGGAAAATGCTGTGTATGACAGTCATTTTTGTCTATTTGGATATTTTGGGAGAAAAGTACCTAATCTATCTTCAATTTGAGGCTAATACATACCATGGTTATGTAAGGAAGTATTCTCATTCATAGAAAACATACACTGAAATAGTTAAGGATCCATGTTATCTTGGCCTATGCAACTTACTCTTGGTTTCAATAAAATAAAATGTGGGCATGGATACAGGTATAAATACACTAGTGTGAAAGTGTACAGATGCATGTGTACATATTATACATTACAGATGCATGCGACTATATTTATGTGTGCAAGCAGAAAGTACAAATGAGGCAAAATGTTAGGCAGTGGAAGTGTCTCAATGTTCACAATCTGTATCTCTAGCACCTTTTCTTAAAATTTCCAAACTTGTTTTTCAAGTCAAAATGACTTTAACATAAATTGGTCTCTAAAATCAACCCTGTTTTTATACCATTAATATTGACACTAGTAGGAATTATGTATTTGGTATGTACCTAAGCATATCAAATGCCTATAAATTATTTCTGGGAAGTGGAATATTGCAATTTTTCCTGCTATTATTATTTCCAAACTTCCACACAGTAGTCCTTCTCTTATCCATGGAGGATAATTCCCAGACTCCCAGTGAAGTCCTGAAACCATAGGCAGTATTAAATCCTAAACATACAGTTGTTCCTCAACTTACAGTAGGGTTACATCCTGATAAACCTATCAAAAGCTGAAAACTTAAGTTTAAAATGCATTTCATACATAGTCTGGCCTACTTTAAATATGCACAGAACACTTGAAATAACCTGCAGTTGTGCAAAATCATCTACCACAAAGGCTACTTTTGTAACAGTGGCAAGTGCCTCATGTAATTTACTGAATACTGTAGAGTTGTATAGGTCCACTTATGCATCATCATGTAGGTGAACTGTCGGTAGCTGAGCCATTCTAAATTGAGAACTGTCTTGACCATTTTTTTCCTACATGCCTTGCATCATTACCACACAAGACCAGAATTAATCTGTCAGTCCGTGTTTTATACCCTACTACCTTCTCTTGCTCTTTGGGGCCATTACTAAGTAAAATAAGGGTAACCTGAACAAGTACTAGAATACAGCAGTTGATGTTAAAACCAAGATGCTGACTAAATGACTCTAATGGATAAGTAGTGTTGACAGGCATGTTGGACAAAGGGGGTGAGTCACAGCCCAGGTGGGGCAGAATGGGACTGCACAAGATCTCATCGCACTAGACAGAACTTTATACATTTTAAAACTTACATCTTTTTCAGTAATTTCCCATTGAATTTTTCAGATCTCAGTTACTTGTTAAACCTTGGATAAGAGGGAAATATTGTCATCTACTGGTACTACCTTCACATTCATTAAAACTCAAAAGCAAAAATACATATTCCTGACATTCACAGGCAGTGTTTACTTATGTCTCCACCTTTAAAATATTTTACATTTTCTACCAAGTCATCCCTTACCATTAAACTACTAAAATGTTTTAATTCTGATTTCCTGCTCTATATGATTAATAGCATAAAATTTTTGAAATAATTAGGTCTTCACAATCCAACAAGTTTAGCAAAGAGCAGTGTGAAAATCGGGCCTCACTGATGAGGAACCTGTGCTCTGGAGAGGATCCATAATTGGTTCAGGGGATTTTGTCTAGTCACGGGGCAGTCAAAATCCAAACCTAAGTTTGACCATTCTCTGAAACCCACATGGATTTTCCTGCTGCTTTTCTCCAGGTGTTCAATAAAGCTTGTTGCACAGTCATAGATTGCTGTCTCCAGACTGAAGCCTTATGCAGTAAGCTTTAGTTACATTACTCTTTGACCTTAGAATTTTGAAACCAGAAACAATCTTTAATTCTATCCACTTCGTATTCAGCAACTGAGACTAAAACTAGCTCTCTTTTGCAGAATTGAACACCATTAAACAAATTCTACCATGTCACTCCTACCCCTCCACCTTTTTTCAAAAGGCTGTGTGTGGTAGAGCAAGCTTGGGATCGAGCCTTGGCTCCTCCATGGTTAAGTTTGATCAAGTTACCTTCTCCAACACTGATCTGTGTTAAAGTTTAAAAGGTTCTCAGCATAAATCTGTGTACGAAATAGATATCCAATCGGTACTCTGTAAAAGTAATTTATTGGACTTCAACCTTGTCCATTTTGCCTTTTGGACATTCTAAATCCAGTTATCTGTTGACTAGGTATACATGCCTATTTTTTGCCTTATGGCAACAAGATCCCCCAAGATCCCACTATTTCAACCTGGTATAATCTTAACCTACCCCAAACTCCATTCATACCATCCATATCTACACGGGGGGGGGGGGGGGGCAAGTACTCAGGATTTGCTAATACTTGAATTTCTAAATTAGGCACCACAAATTCAGGTGAACATAGGGATGGTACAGGTAATAACAGTATCAAACATGAAGTGATGGGAATTGTAGGTAACAGGAATTTCAGCTTATAGTCATTGCACCATTTTTGAAACAGGCAAGAAAAACTACCTCCACACCCACCCATACCCTCTGCAGCACATGCATGGAGAAAGGACATGCAGTAATTCATATATGTACTTGTGCATTCATCTCTTTCCCTTAGACTTGTCTTACTTCTAAAATCACATGTATATATGACATAGACACACACATTAGCAGGTGTCTTTTGAAACAATCCAAATATTCTCTGGCCAGCTTACATATCTGACAGACACAAGAAAGGGAAGAGCTGAGATGTTCAGTGCAGCACCAACTGTATCTGTGCCAGAAATACTGGGAGATGGCACTAAGAAACCTATGCTGACATCATGCAGTGACTGTACTGGTTGGATTAATAGGCTTCAACAGCAGTAGCAGCACTACAGCACAGGAGAAAATGGTGTTATCAGTTCATGGTAGACATGAGAGACATCTCAAGAGAATTACTTGCAAGTTTGGGGTGCAAAAATTTTTAGGGAAAGGTAAAGTTAGACAGTATTATGAATAGGAGACACATTTATGTGGCATTTCAAAACATACAAATACATTTACTGACTATGATTCCATACATGTGTAATAATAAGACATTGCAACATGGACGATACACAACTCAGGTTAGAAGCTGTAAGAGTGCTTCCTCCAATTATACCTTTGATCGGTTTTTTCTCTGAAAGAAAATAAGAGCTCCAAAGCAAGTATGAAAATGAACGTTAAAGCTGGAGAAAACATCAGGAAAAAAATCCAAAGCAAATCAGGAAGGAACAATTACTCTCTAGCCACTAGACCATCTTATTCCCGTATGTGGAATGAGACACGCATTATTCAAATGCAAAACTTTTGGGATTGCAATGAATGCTTCTGGAGGTCGAAAAGCAAAGCATAGGATGAAAAGAACAGTTTACCTCTTTGTGGAACTTAATATTTATTTGCTGGAAACATATGCACTATCTACTTCCTTGACCAAATGCATAGATGCTATTAAGGTTCTTTAAATACTGAATAATGGTAGTTGTCCTACTCCTCTTACAAACATTATGCACACAATTTTTAGCACTTTATAAAATTCATGTTGAGAACCTTTAAGTATACATCCCCAAAAATGTTACATTTAGTGTTCCATATTACTTAACATTTTTTGTAGAATTATAAACAGTATCAATAATGTTGACCACAAAGTCACCCCCCACACACAAAAAAAACACTTGGTTTAAGTCATCATTAAATCTTGAAGGACCAAATGTTTATGTTAAGGTTTTATTCAGGAGCTGAGATTCTTAAAAGGATAGTGTGTGTTTCTTCATACTTTGGGAAATAAAGGCCAAGGGAAGAGTCTGAAAATTTAAGATCTGAAGTCTAGAAGTAAAAGCATATACTTTAGATAGAATCAAAGGCATCACAAAATTATCACACTCAAAACAGTATCTGCAGCTTGGATCAAGGCACAATTTCCTTCCCATGATGTATGGCAAAGGTCAAGAGCATGGCTCTATAGCCAGATCACCTAAATAACAACCCCTTTTTGTTAACTAAGCAAGTTTAGTCTCCCTGAGCCCATCTCCTGCTACCGATAAGGTCCCTTGGATCTGTGAGGACTGAACTGACACGATACTGAGACGGGCACATAGTGACAAGCACCTTGAAAACCATCTTATAATTGAAAACCACCTGTGGTTCTGAAAATAAAAATGTGCAAAACCACATTTCCCATGTGGATAATAAAATAGTAATTAAAACAGGCTCACAAAACTTCTCAAATTGTTTATTTTTTGCACTGACAGCTCACATGTATTTACAAATTAAGATTTTCTCAAACTGCTTTTTATTTTTGCACTGACAGCTCACATTTACAAATTAAAAGCCTTTACTGAAGTCCTAGCAATCTTGACTTTACAAAGATAACTTTTCCATTAAGAAATACCTAAAGGTGACTCTTCCAAAGTCCTTTTAAAAAACATTTCTGAAAGGTTTCCCTACACTGTAAGACTTGTCTTTAGGTAAGTGTTACACATACAAACAACTGGAAAACAGGAGTCTAAAATGAGTGTTCTAAAAAGAATTGTGGTAATGGGGAGGGGAGATATAGAACTAGGCCAGGCCAATCAGGTGTGACATAAAATGTCCACAAGCTTAAGCAAGAAACTGATTGTAAAAATATTCTGCCATTACTTCACACCTATCTTCAGTAAAACAGAAGTGATTAAGGTGAATAAAAAATAAAGTTTTATATAATGATTTCTGCTTAAAGAATACTAATATCCAGGGAAGTTAAGTTAAGTTTAAACTGCTTAAAGTCATTACTTCTGTGATAGAAATGCAGAAGACAATGAAAGCATTTTCTTAGGAGCACATGTTCAAGCTTCTCTCATCAACCCCAGCCAGGTGAGCATTCTCAAGATGCCACTATTACCACAGAACGCTGCAGAAGCACAGCTTCTCCCCACAGGGGGCTATCACACACAAGACTGACGGAGAAAACCAAACTCCGCCCTCATTTCCCATGAAAAACTAACTGTAGGTCACTAAGCTCTCTCAACTCAAGTCGTGGTCATCAACTGGCAACTAATGGTTAACAAAATATGAATATACAAACCATACCACGAAGTAATTTTTCTGTTTTTATTGTGGAAAGGAAAACTGACACTTCACATTATTTATTCACGCAACACTTTAATTGCCCTTGAAAGTTACAAAATAACGATCACTTCTGACTTTGTTATATTTCCAACTACAAGCTTTGATCATTCCCTAACTCTCACAAAGATCAACTTTTAAAGACCTATGCACGCACCAAAGTCACTGAACAGGAATGCACGAAGTTCCAGGAAAACTCTTATATGAATGTTTCTAAAGTGCCAAATCACAATTTAGGGATATAGCCTATAAGACCTATTTTGTTTTTTACCTTACAGTTAAAACTTGTTTTCAGACTGGGGTATTTCCAAAAGCTACAGCCAAAAATCTTCCTGGGCCATATATTATCAATTTCAGAACTTCTGAGCTAAAATACTTGAAAGAGAAATTAAGATTATTTCTTTGATCAGAATTTCTGAATTTGATGCCTATCTTCCTCCAAATGTTATTTCTTGTCTTTAAAGGTACACACCACAAACTTAAAACACAATTCTTAAATTTGCTTCTGGTAAACACAAGAACGGGGAAAGTTAAGGTACATTAGTTACAGAAAGAATGAGGGAAAGCAGTGTATTCAATGTCACATGTGAACTTAAGACCTTAGTTACTGGATTGCAATTTCAGTATTAGCAAGTGTTTTTCCCTCATGCTTACATACACAAGCAAGCTGGTAGACAAAGCAAATTTTCTAAATATGTAAGGATGAGACAATTTAATCTGCTATCTGTCAAAACAGCTGGACTGTTTTGAAAGTATTAACTATTGCTGGGAAAATCTGACGGTATTTTATAGAACAATTAAAAAGAACGGAAATGAAATCTCCTACAGTTAGAGCATATTCTGCTGCATAAAGCAGTTAAGAAGCTCACATATACTTCCAAAACTGCTATCCAGACTGCAACCTATCTCAAAACCAAACACTGCATCATGTATTTTGTAAATCATCTATTTAAAAATACACAGTATTGTGTAACATTTATTATCAATATGGGAAGCATTACTAGACTTAACACTAAAAAATATACATGATACTATTCAACAGTAGCCTTTGTAGTAAAGATTTGACAGGAAATCTCACATACACTTATTAAATAACATCTCATCTTCATTATTTCAGTTGTTTATCAAATGTAGATTAATTTATTTTCCCCTACAAAATTACCAGAAAAAGACAGAGCTAGAATCAGGAGACCAGATTTCTGGTTTCAGTTCTGCTTCTAAGACTTCCTATGAGACATGGGTAATGTTCTCTTAAGCCTCACATTCTTCAACCATAAACAAAGGAGCCAAACAAACTGAATTCTGAAAAGCATTCCCATAAAACGGGACTTTGCTAAACTTCTGAAAACTTACATCTTTAAAAAAGATATTTACAAAATATCAAGCATGATACTTACCATCACTGATGTTGACTATATAGAGAGCTTTAGGCCAAGGGATTACTGATTCTTCATTTACGGAATGAAAATGTGAGGCTTTGTTGTCATGCTTTTCCAGATATAATTACAATAAAGCACACAGCAATGGGAACATTACCTGCAGTAGTAGCATGCTAGTAATGGCTAGGCATCACTTCTGCTTATTTTTAGTTAACTTTTGCACACAAGCAAGAGGTTTTACAAAAGATACCACTGAGCACAATACACACTACATGTCATCTGACAAATTCAAAATACATTTGCATGTAATAATAAAAATACTTGAGAACGTTTTACTGTTTAATAAGATGTGTACACAAACCTGGGCCTAACATACTTCACAGCACCACATCAAGTCCCAAGATTAAGTTTCTCTTTCAGGCAGACTGCATCTTCTATAAAACCAACACCTATTTTCAAGAATAAAAATTCACTGTATTAGACTATACTCAGTATTTTCTCTGGTTCCAAAATTTTCTATCTTAGTACAAGTAAAATAAAGACATAAGGCTAAGTACAGGCACGTATCAGACCCTGTAAAGAGTATTTATACTGAAACTGGTTCACAGAGTGACTTACAAAGTCATTTTTCACAAAGAAAATTCCCAAGCCTTGCTCAGTAATACTAAATATCCATAATGAAAATTTATTTTGAGTGTTAAATTGGGCAGGGAGGAAGAAGACTTACTTTTAACTATTATTATTTAATATGTTACAAATAGAATTATAGGCTAGTTTAAAAGTACATTAAATTCAAGGGGAATAAATCTTGAGAAAACAGTGAAAGAACCTGGAAAAACAGCATAAACACAATACAGCCATGTTGCATATACATAAATTCACTAAAATTACAGCACTTTATTTCCATGGAACTTTATATTTCTTAAAAACAAACCAATTATGTTATTTCAAATTACCTAAAGTACCTTGAAACTGTCAGTTCCTTTCCTTAATAGACTGAGGACTTTTAATTACAAATAATAAAAGTATCTGGAAAGGTTTCAATGCAAAAGAAAAAAAATTCCCATATAGTACAGGACTTTCTGATCCCCTCCCCACCCCCGGCCAATGACAAGACAGACACAAGCTATCGAGCAAGAATCTGTTAACAGTTTTATTTTTTTTTTTAATGTTAAATACCATGGGACAGGATTGTAAGGATGAAAAACTCAGTCAACAACTGCCTCACAAGGGATAAGAAAAATTCTGCCATGATATTAGCAAAGGTAAAGGAAAAAATTTACATGGTAAGAGGCACCATTTCCCCACAGAACACCTCTTGGCATTTCCTGAATGAGTGGGATTAGCAATCTAAATAAATCATATTTTCAAGAGGTAACAGCAACAGATAAAATTTAAAGGGATTATTAAAATAACATTTACAAGACTCTGAACAATTCTTGAACTCTTATTAAAACCACAAAGAAAGAACAATTCTTTATTTATGAATTTCATAAAGGACTGAATGTGCAACTGACACCTGCTAGTGATGATCTGGTAATACACAATTTGTCCAGTAGCCGAACAGTTTGTTTTTATTGTGTTTTCTAACCGTAAGAGATCATTAAAGGCAAAGCCTATATGACGCTGTACACACACACAAAAAAAATGGTCACTGCGGGCCGTACTACCAATGAAATGGTAGGTAAACAAATCTTTTTCTGGTCAAGAGAAAAAAAAAGAAATAGCACTCTGCATGCCTTACTCTACAAGATGAATTTCCCTAGAAAGAATCCAATGAAAATGGCTGCAATTACAACCAGAAGAGAAGGAAGGGGACTGGTGACATTATCTCTGAAGGTTGCAGTTGATGTTGATCCAGGTTTATCTGAATGAGCTACCTTTCTGAGCCTTAGGCCTTCATCCTAGGAGAGAAAATGCACATTTTAAACACAAATATACAAGTGAGTCTACAGGAGTTACAAGTCTACAGAGACAGGAAGCAGATCAAGTGGTTGCCTATGGCTAGTGAGGGGAACAAGGATTAATAGCTAAACACTTCAGGAAACTGTGTGGAGTGAAAGAAAACATTACAAACTGGATTGTAGTGATGGCTGCATAATTCTATAAATTACTAAAGATCACTGAATATCTTCATAGCATGTAAATTATACCTAAATAACACTAATACTAAAACCGGAACTGAGAAATATATTCCTAAAACTAATTCTGTGCATATGTGTATTTTCAAGTTGGCCCATGGTTATTTTAAATTGGTTACACCTGTTAGCCAAACACTACCAGTAACTGTAGTCTGACAGGTTCACTGATTCATTACAACTTAGGAACCCACACAGCAGAGGAACAGAGGGGTTATCTTGCAGGAGAAAGAGATAGAGGAGGAGGATATTACAGGTTTTGGGGAAAGGGGATAATTTCAAGTTGAAATTTCTGTAACAGTGTTTTAATATGCTCAAAGCAAAGCAAGAAAAGGTATGTGTAAAACAGGTCAATATTAGGTCTGGACTGCAAAGTAGACAGAATCCTAATTCTTTAAAAACTTCAAATTAATATAGCAGTGGAATATTGTATACAGGAATCCCTTCTCTGTGTCAAAGTGACTTAAGTCCTCCCAGTCAAGATCAGGCTGCTCCCTTCTTAATGAAATGGTCTCACACAAGGATACCAAGTTTCTGACAGTCTATGTTTTTAGGGGCCACGTTTTCTCATAAGAAAGCAGGAGTGTCTCAAAGTAAGCAGTTGTGGCCTCTGGAATAATGCTTATACCTGCTAACTATGCGGCAGCTAGCTTAATCTTTACCTGTTATACAATCTGATGAATGGCAGACTTACAAATGCAGTCTCCAACTTTTTGACAGTTCAACTTACAATTTTTGACTTTAGGGTAGTATAAAAGTGGTATCCACCAGTACAAACTGTACTTTTAACTCTGATCTTTTTCCAAGTCAAGCAGCACGCAGTATGATGTGCTACTGTGGTGCTCACGAGCAGCAGCAGCAGAAACTCCCACTCAACCCCGCAATCACAAGGGAAAACAACCAATCCCTTATTAGTGTGCTGTGTGGCTAAGCTAGGCTGCTTGACGGGCTAAGTGTATTAAAATGCATTTTCACCTTATGGAATGTAACCATCAAAAGTCAAGGAGTATCCATAAACACTAACTAAAATGTACCTAACAGTATATTTACTTTTATTTCCATTATTGGATTTTCTGGCATTGGGTTTTTGTTGTCTCATACTAATTAGCTCCTGGTAAAAACAGCAATGATTCTCAATCCCAGCTACACACTACAAACATGTGAAGAACTTTAAAAATGTTCCTAGTGATTCTGAGTTACTTACTAGGGGTGGGAAGGACCTAAAAACCTCACTGTGTGATTCAGAAGCGCAGGAAAGATTAAGTGTCAACAGTAGTAGAAGGACTAAAAAGGGCAGTTTCTGGACATGACCAAGTTAACCTGACAACAAATTACGATGGGCCTGTATATGACATGTTATAGGAACCTGAAAATGACTCTACAAGCCAGTGGTCTCTCGGGTTCTCTCATTTTTTTAAATGGAATCGTCATTCAAATAAAGTCTTAAACAGAATGTCAGCATATAAAAGAGAGAGACTAGGAAAGGAAGACTCACTCACTGACTTCCCTGTTCCCTTTGCATATTTTCCAGCCCTCCGCTATCTATGCCATTCTTACTATTTCCACTTTTCTCCCTGCCAAAAGATAAATGATGGCCTTTAAAATTAACCAAGCATTCTAAAGAGTACATTTTCTAAACAGAACTGTGTGTGGTCACAGAGATAAGTAAAAAGAAAACTGGTTAATGTTTTACTCAATAAAGTATATCCAAAATATTATTTGAATATGTAAAAATAAAAATGAGATTTTACCTTTTTTTGGTACTAAGTCTTTAACATAGTGCTGTGGTCCACATTTTATACCCACAAAGTCTCTCTTTGAACTAACCATATTTCAAGTGCTCAGAAGCTCCGTGACGACTAAGTGACTAAAGGATGGTATAGTTCTAGGGGGCTCAGTATGACTTTGAGACACACAAAGTAATGGACAGTAGAAACAAAAGAGGAAATTAGTAATGCCACAGGCCAGCTCACAAGGAACTGGGATGTATGGTAAAGAAAGGAATTTGAAGCCATGATGCTGGTGCTGAAAGAAGATAGAAATAAAGCCCAAAGCCAGGACATAAACTGTTATAAAGCAAAAAGAACTCACCACAGATTAAACATTAAATTAAAAATGACTGGTAAAGGGGTATAATACATTTCGTATACTTTAATTTTTATTGACTTATTTTCAACCAACAGAACTTACTCTCAGGTGCCGATTTTCTTCTGATAGCTTCATCATTTCTCCCTGAAGTCTTTTACACTCTTCCATTAGTTTCCTTGTTTCAGTATCATTGAGTGAAACACTATGCGGTTTTGGCATGGGTCCATCTTGTTTAGATGCATTCAGTGGAACAGCTTTGCTAGGTTCCATGTCATTCTGTATTACAAAGATAGTGGAAATCTTTAACCAAATTTCCTTATCTATTTTAAGCAAATAAAAATGCAAACGCTACATCTTTCTTTTCCAAAAAATTATTTGGAAGTTTTGACAAAATTCCAGCTTTGTTAGTAAATTTTTTTTACACCAAATATTATGGTCATCTGTGAACAATTTTACATGGACTTAATCAAGATGTTAGTAGTTAGGTAATCAAAATAAGCAGCCCACTTCCTCCTCTACTTCCATAACCCTTGTCACTTACCTGACCATAGCACTTAGCATGCATCATAACAATTTATCTTTCAAGTTCTTTCCTACAGAACATGAAAGCCTGGAAGAGGAAGAACCACTTCTCTTTGTATTTACCAATAAACCCAGCACTTTGGCCAACAGTGGTTACTCAATGAAAGCATGCTGAATGACTGATGCCAACCAAAATCCAAGTATGAAAGTCATTTTCAATGCTCTGATTCTGCAATTCAAGTGAGGTTGGGGGAGGGGGAGCCCCACAGTAGGAGTTATGGTTATCAAAATCACACCAATGAAATTAGGAACTACCTTAAAAAAAGCATTCAAAAGAAAACCTAACATTGATTAATGAGAAAAAGTAACTGAAGGATATAATGAAAGGTAGGTAATAAACAAAAGAGGAGAGAGGGAGTTAAATAGTCTATGATCTTAATCCTAAGTGATTCTTTCAAATTTAGTACTGTTTCATTCATATGATTCACTATGGAATACTACCCTAAGTAGGACTTAAGCCACTTTGAAAAGTATGAAACCCAAAATCTTCACTCTTAGAAATATCATAACCATTTGACCTTACTGAAAAAGACCTGGAGATAAATATCTATGGCTGTATGTATTTCTGAGCCTGTGGCCTAAATTGCCTCTTTCATTCAAACATCATTCATACCATGACACACCACAACATCAGTGTAACAAGTTTTCTTTTCATTCTAATTAAAATTTTAATTGTTAAAAAAATTTTGAAGGGCTTGAAATGTAGCCCTTCATTCTACAACTCATTCAGTCCTAAGCATTCAGGATATCCAGGGTTCCACGTCCAACACCCAGAAAAACTGAGATAGACCTAAACCTCCTTTATTTACATATAAACTGCTAACCAAGATGTTTATGGCATTCTATAATACTCATTCAGAGTAAGATTCATTAGAGATTATACCATCCTAGCTGGAAAATTTATGAAATGTGAAAAATAATTGTTTAAGGGCAAAACTAGCTCTTATGAAAAACATGTGATCTGTCCAGTTTGCCTAAATCCATGTAAAAATTAATCCTGTTATAACAAGGTTCTAATGTATAATTCTATAGGTTTGACCTATGAGCAGACTTTTCCATTTTTGTTCAGGCTTCACTGTTGAGAAGGTATTTGTAGCCCTACTTCAGTTTCTTGAGTCCTTCTCTTTGCTTTCTTGTTCTTCATCCTAATCTCCCTCATGCTCAACATTCCACCTCTACTATTAGAAATCTGTTTCAGATACATGTTGCTCTCTGCCTGTATTTTTTCTATTATTTTCCTGAATAGTAATTAATTCAGTTAAAAATGATTTTTCAAGTGTGTGCCAATTCCACCCTAGTCCAAAGTCAACTTCTGATAAAGACAAGGCACATTGCACTCCCTCTGTAACGACAGCAATGTTCAATAATGAAGCAATTATAAGAACCTTCAGGTTTTAGTTAAGAATTGGAGGAGGTTCATATTTATACCTGAAAGTAGTAAGAAATTAAGAGGATACACATGAGGCCAACAATAAAGAGAAAACAAAATGAAGAGTCATCAATGTCTTCAAAAATATTTTTGTTATTTAAAAAATTTTTTAAATTTGCAAAAACTTTAAATCATGAGAAAAGGAAATCATCCTTGTTAAATCATTAGCCTGACATGACTATTATTTATTTATTTATATTAGCTCCCATTACTTTTTACACACACATTTTAAACAATAATACAAGGCCCTGGTTTCCAACCCCTGGTACCACAAAACAAATACAAAGTCAGCATAAATATAATCCTATTTCACTTCACTGATTTATATGCATGTTTTTAGATGTCATTTTAAGTGACACATTATGTCATTAAATATTCTATTCTATGCCTTCCTTGCCAAAATTAGTTTACATTTCATTCTTGTTATAAGTTTGATGGGGAGCTTCCCATTGTTTGGGATTTAAATAAATCAATGAGTATCTTCTTATGGTGATGGAATTAGATTTTTCCTTTTGTACTGAAATTTTTCTGAATGCTATATAATTTTTATAACAAAAAGGAGAAGGTACCTCATAACCCAATGTGTGGCACAAACATTCAGAGTAGAAAGAAAGGATCTATAGTGAAGCCAAATAAAGTCATAAAACACAAGTTATATCACATACTATTTAAAGTCTTCTACAAGTTAGTCAAAATACATAGCATATGCAAAGGAATCTAATCTATGTATGTATATTTAATGTATAAGCACATGTAACCTAACATAACTGACATTAAATGGGGGAAGATTCGGCCATTTGTGCAGTGACAATCTAAAGAGCCTGATGGGAAGGAAACACTAAGGTGAGACTTTAAGTAAATGCTTCCACTTAGGAGCTCTATTAATGAGGTTTGACTATAGGAAGGCAGCTTGTTTCTTGAGAGGTGTTTCAGACTGGTCCAAGTGAGAGAGAACTGGTTATTCTGAGAACCATGAAACAAGCAAACTAAAAGGATTCAACATGCTGTTGACTATTAATAACAAATAGAAACATTACATCAGCAGTATACTTTAATACTGCAACTTGGAATAAGGTGAAAGGTCACGGCTGTGTATCAATTAAGACATCATACCATGTTGTACATTTTGTATTTAGTCTATCTGCAGTACTCCCCCCTCCATCCATGAGTTTCGTGTCTATATTCCTTTTCAACCATTAGAATTTCAATTCCAGTATTCCAAGTAATTCTATAGAAGGCAATTACAAAAAGAGGGGGCAGAGATTGGACACAGAGGGAAAGATAAAGCCTAAGTCAAAGAAGTGTTTGCAATGAAACTCTGGAAAGAACAGAGGACCTAAAGGACATAAACAGGGGGCTACATTCGTGTGACTATTATGAGTAAAGGGCATCAATACATGTAAGGGAGTAAGGCTAAACGCAAGAACTATGGCATTTATTGTCAGATTTAATACTTAATCTCAGAATTGAGACAATATTTGAGTAACAAAGTTATGTGAAAATTCTTTTCCACTCTAAATAGTCAATTTACTCTTTCTATAGAACCATGATCCCCAGAAGTAAGTAACTCCAAATTACAAAAATCAAGAAACGATGAAGACATTTAGATATTTTTAAAGCCTTATCCATATGTGTATCACCTGGGTGAAATCAAAGTATATGCAATCTATTAAAATAAAATGGATAGTTTCTAAAGTTTCCAAGTAAGTGAGAAATGGTAAAGGGAATCATACAACACCCATATGATCACCAAAATCACTGTCATTTACTGATGAGGTGGCATTTTATTTGAGTGGAGGTACACATGCACACACATATTAATCAGTTAAATTATGACATAAGGTCTTTAAGGTCTTTGGATACAAACTCTCCTACCCTGGGGAGTTAGGACAGTTATGGAAAGGTTACTATACTCTTATGTATCAAGAAAATACAAACTACAATTTTATTTATTTTTTTTAATAAAAACAAATGCTTGTCTGAAAAGCAGTGTTTGCCTACCTTCACTATGATACCCACAAGCTACAAACTCATTTTTTAGTATATGCTCACCAAATTTCATTCACAGGAAAAATTATAGCAACTTAACGTTCACACTTTTGTCCTGCTCACTACTGTGCTATTAAGTGATAATTTTTTTTAGAACACAATCATTTCAGTGCATATTTTAAGTGCTTGTGGCTCTACTGCAATTTTAAACAGTTTAAAAATTCAATACACTCACAATAACACTTATTTTCTTAAGTATCTACATTAACTTAGCTAAGTCTGTTAACTCCCTATGACAAACCTTCTGCTTCTCCTGTTTGAATACATTGAGTCCCCTGGGATCATTCTTCGTGTGATAATTGGCAGGTGTTGCAACTGTGTTGTTGATGCTGCTCATTGAAGTGACAGTCGGAGCAGTCCCTGGTGGAGTTTTACCCTGAGATGGCATGGGAAACATATTCTCAGATTCACCAAATTCTGATTCTCCTGCATGATACTGGGAATGACTAACAGACAGCATTAGACTCTAAAACATTGACATTTTTAGTCTATAAAAATGTGTTATGCATAAGAAACAGTACTAATAAAAAGTAGCTATGCTAAAGTAAAAAATACAGAAGTTTCTGACCTACTTTTCATTATTTCCCAAATAAAATTAGCTATGATCTATTTGTGTATGTTCACTTACTAAATGCATATACTTTATTTAATTTATGTTAACTTCATATTGTCCTAAAATGAAAACATCTTCCTGTAACTTTATGGCTCTTAATTATTTTTTTTACTACTATTTGCTGTTATTTGAAAAAATACTTTCATGTTTTCTTACCTTTGATAACACTCAACTTGAACATTTTTCCTTCTGAAGTTCAAAAGCGCAGTAATTTGTAAGCCTCTTTTCTACTAAAAATTCCCCATGTCAACAAGCACACGCGAACACGTGCACACACACATACACACAACCAAGCCAATAAACAAAGACTCACATAACATTCTGGTAAAGATACCACAGTCCTCCTCCTCTCTTCTCAAATTCCTTCACTATAGATAAAATTTATATATAAAAAGGCTGGATCAGACTGGAAGAATACTTGTAGAAATTCAATCTGTTCTTTACCAGAAGAAAAAAATGTATATGAGCAATAAAATGTCTTTATAAAAAGACACCTAAAATCCCTGTTCTATACAGCTTTACAATCTTCATTAATAAATACGGAAAATGTCAAGGAAAGGCTTCAAAAATTTTTTTAAATTGAACTCTCGACTAAGCAAGTCATGAATTTCAAAAGCAACCACATTCAATCCTAAAACAAACAAAAACACCACTATCATTAATTGGACATTAAGTATTTCATAATACAGTGCTAACAGTAAATACAGCTAATAATTTAGAGAATCCCATTTTATAAAACAGTCAACACTTTATACTATCATATGCCTGAATGGCTCTCCCGTACAGGCACTGACGACCCTACTAAAAGCACTATAGCCCCTAATGAACTGAAATATACCCAGTCACATACCCACTGTTCCCTAATACTAGGGTGACTACACAACTTATTGTACTTACATAACAATACTATGTTATTCCTATTGTCCAAAGAAAATTATTAACAGTGCCTACTCTTATTTTAAAATAAAAGGAGTCCTGGGTTTCCTTGGCTACCCGGTCTCTAAAATAAAAGGGGTCCTGGGTTTCCTTGGATTATACACCCTGGGTATAATCCAAATCAGAGAGCTGTTTCCCAAAAAGAAACCTGCACTCTAGTAATGGATGACTCAAATAAATTACAACTGTCTTATCACAAAAAAAAACTTTGTAAAAAAAAAAAAGAAAAACATGGACTCAATTATTATACTTCTAAAGTTGGCTCCTTTTATTACAATATGATCACCCCAAAACTTCAAACATTTCCTTATTTGTATATTCACTGTCAAGGTCCTAAAAATTCTAAGAAATCAACAAAATAGTATCACCATTTTCCCAGCGTTCCAGACGTGTAAATGCCCAAGCACTAACAGCATATTTAAAAAGATCAAGGTCCTCCAACAAGTGTGGTCTATTTAACATACTTAATTTAAATAACATACTTAAATTAAATGCCTGCATTTCTTTATTGGGGTGCAGGAAGATGCAGTGGGGTAGGAAAGTGAGGAAATGGGGTAGGGAGTATACGAAAATCACCTGAGACCTGCTATCTCTACCATTCTTGAGAAGAAAGCATCCAGCACTATGACAGCCACTGTGAAAGCTATCTGCTTTGAATAATCAAATTTTTCCTAGTGGACATAAAGATCGAATTCTGATGATTAACATGTAAATGTGACAAAATTGGTTAACTATGTGAAGTAATAGACATTTTAATTAACTTGACTGTGGCAACTATTTCACAATGTATATTATACATAACTGAACACAGACTTCCCTCACTGCTCCAAAGGCTACTTAAGAATGACTACAAAGTGCATGTGCCATCCAGAGTCATATGCTAAACCACAAGTCGTCACCAGCAACTTTGGTAAAAACTAAACGTTATTTAACATACTCATTAATAAATAATCCCGGCTGGAGGTATGGCCCAGTGGTAGATCACCTGCCTATCATGGATTCCAACTCAAGTAGTGCTAAATAAACTAAAAAAATGAAAAAAGGGTCAAAACATCTCAATTTGCTGTATCTCAAAACTATAAACTATTTTTGACTCTATACAAAATATGCATTATCTGCACAGTTTTTCATAATATTTTTGTTAATCCTGCATATTTGGAAATCAATGTGCTTTGAGTGAGGGAGTGTCATCTTTACTTTGTGTAAGACAGGATTTAGAGAACATTTTGCCAATTTATATGAACTAAACTGACAAACTATCTCGGCATCATACTATCCAATAATGCCCAAATTTCCAAGAAGATTAATTCATACTAGACTAAGGTAAATATAAAGGGGATATTAAGTAATTTCATCTATGAATGCTAAAAAGAAAACAGTAATGCCAAATATATTATGAGTTTTACACAGTATTACCAATTTCACCTAGAGAATACTGAACTAGAAATTATCAACATAAGTAATAGGAAGGGTTTTATATATTTTTTATAGCTATAATAATTTTCATCCTTATTGTAAACAAGTAAAACAAACTTTCTCATATTTTATGCTATCATATACTTCAGATTTGGTGACTTGACATTTCATATTTTCTGTAAGGGCTGAGATGCAACATTAAACTGAATACTTGACAGAAAGACATATAACCAAGTAACAACCAGATAGTACTGGGTCCCTGTCAGGTTGCATTGAATTTAAATACATTTCTCAGTGATTAACATTTAGTGAAGAAGCTGCAGGTCACCAGCCCTACAAAAATGAGTTTAAGGAAGAATCATACTTCCAAAAGTATTTCTTAGAATGCTAAATATTCCAGGAGAAATTATGTCATATTAAATTTTTAAATGCTGAATTACACGTTTCTTCACAGATCCTTTAAGATGCAAATACATGATGCAATTGTTTTGGAAGACATAGCATTTGCATATTTTTCCAAACTCGTCTGATCACAGAACTCTTCCAACCTAATACACTTTAAGCAATACTGCCTTATAAAAACCCAGCTGTGTTTTAGCTCATTTTTCTTTTTTTCTTTTTTTTTAAGACAGGGTCTTGCTATATATAGCTCAGGCTGCCCTCAAATTTATGATTTTCCTGCCTTAAATCTCCTTAGTCCTGGGATTACAGACATGTACCACCAAGTCCAGAAGTTCCTCCTTCTACTTAGCATGTGAATTTATCAGTTAGCCACCTATACATTGTATAAATACGTGTAAATTATACAAACTTGAAATAATGAACACAGTGAGGTCTTAAAAGGCCATTTTATATGAACAAGTTGAAATATGAATTCCGAACACTGAAGAAAAAAATCCCTGAGAAATCACAATGGCAAGATTAAGGAACCATAAATCATAAACTTTTTTTTGTAAAAAAACTGATTCATTGAAACATTACTTCAGCTGGTCCATAGAAGTACCTGTGCCCTCATCTCAGATTTGGCACACTGTAAATTATCCAAGATTTTCAAAATCATATCCAAGTCATAAAATGGAGCCAAAATGAAAGGATTCGACATCATCATATGTGGTGCTGACATAACCCATAATTCATATTTTGCCTTTGGAAAAGCACCTTCAAATGACAAACAGGTCTCCACTCTAATCGTGTCCAAAAGACTCGTCTGATAGAAATCCTAACAAAATCAAAAATCAAGTCAGGCATGGTGGTACACATAACCCAGTACTCAGGAAGGTAAGTAAGGCAGGATGTTCATAAATTCAAAGCCAGCCTGAGCTACAAACAAACTCTGTCTCAAAAACTAAATAAAACTGTCTTACCCCAAGGTCAACATTATGGTCCTGAAATACCATCTCTGACTGAAAGGGTCCAGAGTTTCTTAAGAAATAGGTTGTTCCAGGTCTGGGCCTGCAACAATCTTGCCACATTAGACATCAAGAACACTACTAATGATTATTTGGATCAACTTGAAGAACTTTCTCCCAGCCAATCTGAGCAACAATAATAACTGCAAGGAGTTGGAATCAAGATGCTTATTTAAACCTATGAGTCTAACTCTAACCCTATGTAGAGGAAGAAGCCAGGTGGGGGAGTACAGGCCTGTAATTGCAGGTACTCAGGAGGTAAGAGGATCAAAAGTTGGAGCCTTGTCCAGGCAAAGTTAGAAAGCCCATCTCAAAAACAAAATCCCTAGTACTGCCCGCCCCCCACAAAAGAATGTAGTAGTGGTGGTGGTGGTAGCTGTAGGAGGGAAGGAGGTTGTACATCAGAGGGATGCTTGTGAATCAACTCATTTTTAAAAAACCTGTCTAAAGAAATATTCAGGCATTTATCCTACCTTTATAAACTGTCGTTGAATAATCAAATGTTAGAACACTTATATCTCTTCACAGAAGTAGTCTTAGTATATCAAATTGAAATGAGAGAATACCACCACTATATAACCTTAAATGAATTAACAGGCCAAAATCATACTTTTTCAATTTTCTCAATCTCAACTTCATTGACATTTTGAGCTTGATGCTTCTGGTAGAGGCTGTCCTTTGCATTATAGGAAACTGAGCCACATCCCTGGCCTCTACCAAAGTAGATAGATGCTTACAAAATAGATAGATGCTTGCAGTGTTCCTCCCCATCGCTCAGGGTAACAACCAAGAATGCCTTCAGATACTGCCCCAGGGGACAACCAATTTCTCCTAGATAAGGATCATTCATCCAGACACTGAACATCAGTGGCTGCTCACTTTAGCACCACCAACAAAAAAACCCAGACATTTATGGACCTCCTTGAGAGACTAACATCTATAAAAGCAGTCAGGACTCCATGCCCACTCTCAGCAAAAACAAATCTAAATTTAATCAAGCTTCTCCATCCAACTTCCAACTGTAGGAAATACTAAGGAAAAAGAAAAAGTTCAATGATACCACAAGCATATAATCAGCAAAATCCAGAATGTGGACATGTAACAGGCAAACCTAGATCATTTATCAGTTTTTCAAGAGGAAAAAAAGAAAGGGAACCTAAATTAAGAGATTTAAGAAATCAAACATAATCCAAAGGATATGGATAATCTCAATTCAAACAGAAGAAGAAATTACTTACATCTGTGGGACAAATTTGAATGCTACAACTTGGATAGTTTGATATTAATGATACATCAAAAAATTTAAAGAAACAGTAATTGTACTAATGTTAAAACTACTCTTTTTAAAGTCCTTAGAAATAATATATATAAAAATAATTACAGATAAATTAAATGATATCTAGAAGTTGCTTTAAATTATCCACGAGAAGGAAAATAGTGGGTCTCATGAAATACGAGTAACCATAAACTAGTAATTATTAAGGATGATCATAGGTCCGTAAGGGATCATGTTACTTACACTCCTCCTGCCTATGTTTTTCAAAGTATGACCTTTAGCATATACCCTATAATTTAATATACTTCAAATCCAAGTAGTTCAATTAGTGGAAACCCATTCTGCTGCTAGATTATCAAGACTGAGGATCAGGTCCTGTCTGGGTATTTGTACCAGAGGGAGGAGGGGAGAATATAAGGAAAGGGTGAAGGAGAGTGAATGTGGTGGAAATACTAAGAAAATGGAAAAATGGGACCTGTTGAAACTATTCTAAGGGGGAGATAAAAGAATGATGGGGGAGTGAATTTAACTAAGATATACTGTAAGCACTTTTGTGAATGTCACATTGTACCCCCAGTACAACAATAATAAAAAAGGCTCAGAATCAATTTTTTTAAAAGGCTGAGGATCAGATATTCTCAGAAGCATTTTGATTTAGTTATTGAAGAGCCTTTGGGTTATGAATAATACCTGCTCTGAAAAATCTCCAACCCCAAACTACTGCTCCTGCTTCAAGGTAGGAACTCTATTCAGTATTTGTTCAAGCATTAAAGCTCTCTTGAATGACTTTAGGTTATGCCTTTTTGTAGGCACACCTGCTTTTCTCTTTCATGAGGTGGGAAACGGCTAGACTCAAATGCCTACTGTATCATTTCCATCAACTTCTGGCTGGATGCTAAAAGCAGTGAGAGCATCCCTAAATCACCAATATCCGACACCTGACTTCCTGCCCTTCTCAGACCATAATCTCAAATTGTCTAACATCCAGAGCATAACAGAAGCCCAGATGAGAGACAAATCAGAATCAAGTCTACGTTTATTAAATTATTATTCTGAAAAAGATATAAAACTTTAAGTGAGAAAACATCCAAAGGGGGTTTTTGTTTGTCTTAAGTGGGTCTTATAAGAAAAGCTATGCAAGCTTTTATCTTTCTGGCAACCCACACAAAAGAGAAAGTAATTTCCAAATGGGAAGCATAAATACACCACATATTTTTATTTCTGGCAAATAACTTAAAAAAGACATTTTAAAAATTCAACAAGTAATATGGTTAACACCTAATTAGCATTCAGCAACTTTTTCCATTTCAACTTTTCTAAAAGAGTAACACAGTAATGGGAGACCAGGAATTTACTCTGTACATTTACAACAAGCCAAATGGTCCTCAGATCAAAGCAAGAGTCATTCAGATTATAACTAAATTATGCCAATCAATTATATTTATCCATACTATCATATACATTAAGTCACACAGAGAAACAAAAACAAAAACTTTCTACAAACCTCTCCAGTCCTTTCTACAAACTGTAAGAAAAAATTCAAATTTATAATCCAGAAAGGAAACAAGCAAAGTAGCTATAACCCACTCTATACATTTCCAGACTACTGGCTTTGTTTTAATTAAACACATCTATCCCTCAATCCCCTAAATTGTATATCCTCGTACTAATCAATAAACAACAAATTATTTACTAAAGAATAAAATCACATGGATTTTTGACCCAAAACAAAAGTGAGCAAAATACTTAGAAAAGGCCAAACTTGGAATAAACTGTTTATCCATGTTATTTAAATCTTTTATCCTCAGAATGCAGATACGTAGTTGCTAAAAAGCAATCTTTAATCCGTTCTTTAATCATATTTATGTTTATACATCTTATTCGAAAAAGTAGTTTAAACAGCCAAAATCTGGGAGAATTAAATAATTCTTCGCCATCCTACAACTTGGACCTAAGATGTAAATTCTTTCTTTCTTCTTGAGCAAACAAAATATTATAAAATGAAAAAAGTCTACCAATTATTTTTTACTTAAGCACCACATCTCATTAAGTAAAACAGCCATGTTATATACATACTAAAGTCCAAAAATAGAAGCCATAATAAAAATACCTACAAGTTCAACAACTTCCAAATTTTTACATTTTCCTACTTACCAGTTTATCATTTTCATTCGGCATTTCAAATACACATCTCAATTTAGAATCCATCAATTCGTCAGGTTTTGCTTCTTTCCACTAAAAATAAACAAAACCAAACACAAGACACAAGTGAAGAGTACATGGCTGAGGCAGGACACCCTGTGGAGTATTTGTTGACCACTATGCATCACCACTCCTAATGTCACCTAACCTTTACATAATCCTAGACTTTCACCACAACCCATTAAAATTATGCCAATATCACCAGCCATTACAGGACTTTCTTCTCCACAGCAGCATTCTAAATAATGTCTAAGAGATAATATTTCAAAATTTTTTCATTCTTTAAATTAGGATTACCTCCAATGGACAGATTTTTTAATTTTAAAAGTTAGATTTGCTGAGCACTAAACAAAACCCACTGTTTAAATAACATTCCTCAAAAGTACATTCTATTCAACTTCTATACTTACCACAGCTTCCATATCTGAAAAGTTTGGTGGAGCAAAAATTGTCTGTACCATAAACTTGTGTTTACTCTTTTCATTAGGATCATAGTCAAAGGGCTGTAGCATTACTAAAGAAAAAGAAAGGACACGTCATATGGTCTTCTGCATTTGTTTATCATTCCTATCACACCTCAGTAATAACAAATTTAAAGTAAACCAAGATGGGCCCAAGAAAATAAACATGGATTACTTATATTCGGGATCCACATCAATTATTTTCAGATTGCCTACCTTTATTTCCTAAGTCTGTAACAACCCAACAAATTAATTACTTAAAAATATGAATGTGTAACTGCCCCCTCTAAACTTAGTTTATAAATTTAAAATTTTCACCAATATCCACTAATACAATGTCATAAACTCAAATTAAATCTAGTAAACTGCTTGTTAAAACTAGTTATAATGTGAATGCTTCACTTTTTTATTTAGTGATGATGAGACATATACAGAATAAAGGTTCAGTGACTTTTAAAAAATTCACTATCGTAAGGCAGGTGTGATGGCACACACTTGTAAATCCCAGCTACTCAGGAGGCAAATACTAGTAACAAGATTCGAGGCCAACCTGGGAATAAGTGAGACCGAATCTCAACCAACAAGCCAGGCATGGTAGTGGTGCATGTCTATAATCCCAAGCAAAAATGTGAGACCCTATCAGAAAAATAACTAAAGCAAAAAAGGGCTGAAGACGTAGCTCAAGAGGTAGAACACCTGTCTAGCAAGCATGAGGCCCTGAGTCCAAATCCCAGTATTGCCAAAAATTTTTTCACTGTTATAGTTTAATAACTAATTTTTCTAAAATGAATTTTAAGTAAATAATTCATGAACATTTTACCCATTTGTTTAAACCTAATTCTAAAAAGCAAAGTATAAAAGGAAACCATAAAATCTTTTGATGTCTAGAATTTATCCTAAAGTTCTAACATTCAATTTTTTCCTCTATAATTTTCACTAGCCTATAAAGGCATTTTTTAAGGCTCCATGTAGTGACAAGTAATGCTAAATTTATGTAGTAAAAATCCAGTAAGAGACTACAAAGAATAAATCAGCAATTCCAAAAATAGTGAATTATTCTCTAACATTATTTCTAAAACCTACAAATATTTTCAAAGACAAATGTCAATTCAGCAAATAAAAATATAAAATAATAAGAAAATCTTATTTAGCAAAGGTAATCACAAAGAATACATGTATGTACAAATTAAAAGGGCAAGACTGGGGGCATAGTTCATGTGGTAGAGCACCTGCCTATCAAGTGCAAGGTCCTACATTCAAACTCCAGTACCACCAAAAAAATAAAAGAACAAATTCACAAAACTAAATGCTAAAGGAACACTGAAAGAAGAAGAAACAAACAGGTATACAGTACAAAGAATCAATCAGAGAAGGTTGTTAGTGTAACTACAGTTGTAACTGAGTAGAAAGACTGCATTAAATACTGGAAAAACTAAATTCCAACTGGAAGAGAAGAATTGGTAACTGAGATAATTGGGAACTAGTTTAAAGTTTTTAATAAACCAGGTGTTTTTATGTGAAAAAAAGCACTCTGGAAGTATTAATATATTATGGGACTTCGGGAATCCTGAACCCTCAAGAAAAGGTCACATCCTGAACAGTTTTATGGATGCCTAGGGACATAACCACACCATGTCCCTGTTTTTAACCATATGGAATGAAAAAATCCCATCTTCTTCACATTTAACCAAAGGCTTAAAGATGTAAATAGAAAACATCCAGAATGCATTCCTTTCTCTTTTTTTAATTTAATTTTTTTTGGTAGCACTGAGGTTTGAATTCAGGGCCTCACACTTGTTAGGCAGACACTGTACCACATGACCCACAGCCCCAGCCCTCTTTGTTTTTAGTTATTTTCCAGATGGGACCTCACAGTTTTTGCTCAGGCCAGTCTCCAACACTATCCTCCTACATATGCTTCCTGCATAGTTGGGATTACAAGACTGACCAGCATGCCCAACTTGTTTGAGATGGGGTCTCACTGACTTTTGCCCAGGCCAAACCTCCCACTCCTAAATAGGTGGGATTACAGGCATGCACCACCATACCCAGCTATGTACTATTACTTTATCTTATTTCCCATCCATCTTTCTCAAGCCCTAATGAACTACACAAAGCAAGCAAATATGAAAGCATTCCTCCCAGGCTACCTCAGCACAAAGACTAACTAAAAACGTTTTCTTGGGGGGAGGGGTAGTACTGGGGTTTAAACTCAAGAGTCTTGTGCTTGCTAGGCAGGTGTTCTACCACTTGAGCCATACCTCTAGCCCTGAAAACACCTTTTGTAGAGCCTCCTAGCTCTCAAGTTTAGGATACCTCTATGGGAGGACACAGTATCACGAAGAACTCTGTTCATTTCTTCCTTTGAAGTCAAGTTCTACTTCTAAATACTCTCAGTGTTCCTGCTCTAGTCTCTCACACTTTGTATAATTTGCCATTTTCAATATGCTTCTTTTTGGCTTAAAAACCAAAAAAAAAGGATACAGAATTATTGCATTAGGAGTCATCAAGTTTTTCTTTTAAAATTATACACATTTCTAAGCCATGTTCCCAGAGATTCTGACCTGAATCATGGTGAATCCATGTGTGTCAAGGCCCCCATATTATTAAAGAACACAGTGGGTTGAGGACTACTGCTATAAAAAAAGAGTGAATGGTCTGCACATGAGGCCTGGGGGTTCTCCCATGATTAAGACACTGGAGCCACACACATTCTTATGCTTGCTTCCTATTTCTCAGCTATGTTAAATTGCTAAGCAGTTCTGTCTTTGCAAGTCTGAGGAAGGAAAAGAACAGCTTATGGAGAACATGATGGCACCAGCACAGATTCCATAACAGGAGTAAGCAATTCAGATACAGAAGGAACCAAGTACATTTTAACTACAAGTAAACACGAGAGTAACAAAATGAAGTTTTCAAGTCCAAGACACTGTGAGCATTTATAAGGAAAGGCATAAAGACTCGTCTGATTTGATGCAATAGGCAAAAAGAGGCATTGTACATTTTTATATGAAATAATTAGAACACTCTGTAAGTGCATATAATATGTAATACACTAGAGATAGTCACAAAAATGGTGTCTTTTCCAAAGATAAAAATAGTAAGGACAAACAATGAAGTGGTGAGTTACAGAAATAAAGACTAGATACAAAGTTTTAAATTCACAGTAATTATTCAAAATTATTCCCACACACCCTCACACACAAAAATCAATGTGAGAAGTTTTCTATAATAGTTTGCATTTGGTGTGATAACTGAAGAGAACAGCCTCAAAAGCCAGAATATAATAAAAACTATTTCCCTCTCTTTAGACGAAACACTATTAAATAAGTCAAGTTAACACAAATCATAAAATGTCATAATTCAAAACTGCATAAACTCAGAACATGATTTGCTACCTGAAACAGTCACGGTGGACCCTGGGTCAATAATTCCACTGTTGGGCCTCACACAGTATCGGCGAGGTGCTGTAGTCTTCACTTTGAAACACACTTTCCTATCTGATGGATTTCGCAACTTAAGATTTGTAGTGACTACATCTGTGAAGGGGCCTGTAAGGTTTAAAAAGAAAAAGAAAAAATTTACTTGGATTCACAAAACAAAAGCTGAATTCAAAACTGAATGAATACAACACTCAACCTACTTACGTACTAACATCTGTATGCATATAAATATTACCAAATGTGAACAGTGCCTCCTTTCTCTGAGGTATACTGACAAATGAGGTATTTTTTCCTTCATTCTGAACAATTTCACAAAATTTCTATTAAGAACAAGAATTATTTCTATTTTTAAGTCATTCTGAAGTTCCAATCTATCAAGTAAGTTTGCAATTACATTCTTTTAGTATTCTCTTACCACAATATGGAAAATATCAGAATTTCTCAATGGTCTTCAAGCCAGTGCCAAGTTCACATTGCAAGGCCAAGTGCAAAACATATCTACAAACTACACCCCATGACAACAGTGCTCATTCTTCTCCGCCTCAATGTGGTTCTGTGGATTTACTCATTCATTCAATCCATTCATTCATGTATTTGTTATTTATGCATACAATGTCATATGCTCTATCTAAATACAAAGCTTTTAAGGTTTTAAGCTTTATTCTGCACCCAAACAACACAAAACTACAAAACAAAGAACCCAAAAGCAGATCCAGCACTGCCTAAATCAAACCAGTATATTCTCACTTTTTTGAAGCAAGATATAAAGATCACAGCTATCCTCTTGGCCTAAAACAGTGGTAAAGCCTAAAATAGTAATCTTTTGTGTTATTGCACATTAGTTTAGGTAGCGAAAGAATTGTTTGTTTAAAGGCAGAAGCTAAAACTTAAAACTATGTTCTAATGGAAAATAATACCCTTTACTATTATTAACAATTCCAAAAATGCTAAGTGCTTTTTTATAAAGAATCGATCTTATCTCTTAAAAAAAAAAAAAGAAGAAGAAGGGGGGTAGGATGGGGTTGTAGCTCAGTAATAAGAGCGCTTGCCAAGTCCTGGGTTAGATTCCCAGCACTGAAAGAAAAAAAAAATAATGGCAAGAAGGCTGAAATAAATGACAACCCTTATAATGGCTATCTTTTCTTAATTTAAATCTTAATACTAAGCATGTCTTTTAAAATTCTGAAATATTTACACTGTAGAAGTCCAAATTGAGAAAAATTTCCAATTAACTATGCCAAATAAAGTTTCTCATTTTGTAGAATACTGGAAAGTTATCTAAAATATTGAAAGGAAGACAAAAGAGGCCTTCAGCAAAGTGCCTGAGATGAAAATAAACAGATTTGCCTTGTGCAACAAGAGAAAAAGATACTGATTTCACAAAGGTAAGGTCATTAAAAGTATTTAGTTCAAGCCCTAAAAAGTAAAATAATTAGCTTGCTTATATGTCAAGCTAATCATTCATTCTATAAACATCACACACCCTTTGTTGGTTCCCAACTGCTTGCATTTTTTGAAAAGTAGTCTAACTCCACCATACAATTAGCGTAAGGCTAGTAAAGGAGAAAGCCCCAACTATTCCACTAAACTACCTGTATGTACCCACAACATGGGTGGCTGAAAACACATCGGAAACCCATAAAACAAGCAGTTTTAAATTCTGCTCCTTACTGTTTTTGAAGCCCACAGAATCACTACAGGAAATAGAGAGTATAAAATTTTGTTAAGACTATTTTGCTAATGTTAAAGCATTAGCAATTTCTTAGTAACATGACAAGAGAAACATTTCAAAAAATTTTGAACCCCCCTATATTTTCCTAACATTATGTAAATTTTATATTTAAAATTTATGTTTGCTTGTTTTTGTGGTTACTGGGATTGAACCCAAAGACTTCTGCATACTAGGCAAGAGTTCTACCACTGAGCTATATCCTTAGCCCTAAATTTTTAAGTTTTAATGTGATTTCTTAAATTCTCCCTCATCTAAGAGGAAAATACCAATTACCCAAGTTAAGTGAGTTCTGAACCCAGAGTCCTGAACTTCTCAGGCAGGTGCTCTACCACTTTACGCCCTCAAGCCCTTCCTGCTTTGGTTATTTTTGAGTACTCCATTTATGCAAGAACTGGCCTGGACCACAACCCTCCTATTTATGCTTCTCGTGCAGTTGGAATGACAGCTACATGCCACTATGCCCAGCTTTCATTGGTTGAGATGGGGGTCCCTCAAACTGTTTGCCTGGGCTAGTCTCAAACCATAATTCTCTTGATCTCCACCTCCCAAGTAGCTACGATTACAGCCATGAGCCACCATCCCTGACACAAAATAAGTGATTTTTTAATTTTTCTCAACAAACTCTTTAAGTATTCTATGTATTGTGAACCAGTAGTACACTTTAATATGATATTGCCCAGCAGGGATTACTAGTCTTCAATAATAGACTGTGGTCTTTCTAGACATTAAAGTGTAAGCTAATGATGAAATAATATGTCAAAAGAAAAAAAAATCTTACCAAAACAAAGTGCTTAACTGAACAGGTTAAACTTACAAGTAAAAAGTAAAATTACCTACAATAAACCCACCTAACAAGTCAATCTCACACTCTCTGCTCCACTGTGCCCCTCAACAAGGCTCTCAATGAGTTACTCCCATGGAACAGTCCAGATTCTAGACCCATTTTCCTAGCTGAAATGGAAAATTAGCAAGTACTAATGACCATGAGCATAAGAATAAACAGAATGCATAACTCAAAAGGGTGCTGGGAAAAAACAGCTGGTCCACATTTATTAGTCACAGAACCTTTTTGAGAATCTAATGAACATTACGTCCTACCCCAGAAAAACACACACAGACATGTACCCACAAGACTCTGACACTGAATTTTATGGGAGTTAAGAGACTGAGTTAGTCTAGAGGGAAGTTATTATATCACACCAGAAACTAGTTTAAAAGACTGATAAAATTTAACTTAAAAAGGGAAGTTACATAACTCACTGAAAGTGCTACAAACAATCCTTTACATAATGACTCATGGTATTTGTGCTTGACATTATGACTGGGTAGTAAGAAAGGGAAGTAGGGAACACAGGATGTCATGCACTCTGCAGTGTCAGGACAGCTCCACACAATATTATGCCTCCATCCTACCTAATTTTCAAATACCACTCCTGCTATTGTGTGAGGCTTGAGCATTCCCCAATGTGTTGAAGGCTTAGTCCCCAAAGTGACTCTTCTGGGAGATGGTAGAACCTTTAAGAGGTAGAGCCTAGTGAGAGGAAATTAGTCACTGGAGGCGTGCCCCTGCATGGGATTACAGGGTTCCAGCCTTCTCCCAGCTCCTTTTTGTTTCCTGGCAAGAGGTGAGAGGTTTTGCTTTGCCACACTTTCCAGCCATGATGTGTTTCCTTACCACAGGCCCAAAGTAAACAGCCAGCCAATTTAAGGCTGGAACCTCCAAAACTGTGAGTCTAAATAAATCTTGTCTTTTTGTAAGCTGATTATCTCAGTTATCTGTTAAAGTGACAGAAAGCTAACACATCTTCAAACCACACTGGCGAAAAATCTCTTTTCCAGGAATGCATCTAATGTCAAAACAGGAAAATTTTGTTCCCTTTTCCCAAAACTTTAAAAGCTAAGTTCACCATTACAGAAAATTACTGCACCAAAAGCAGTATCACTCATGATACTTAAGTCACAATACAACAATTTTGTCTTAGTCAGCAAATATTCACAGGTTGAGTCCCATGATTCTACCAATATACATACTAAGCACACAGTTCAGTAATTCTTATTTCTCTTAAACCCAAACTTACTATACGTAGATACAAGAATGTGACTACTTCATTATGTCTACTATTGTAGCCATGCTCAAACATTTACACATTAAAATGCATATTTAACTACAAAAATCCTTCCTTTCTGTCTCTCCCTATGTTAGTTAGAGTATTGTGTTAAATTTTCAATTGTGTATGTTGGTAGGTAATTTTATGTGAGTTTAATTTTGAAGTAGTAGAGTATGAACCAAAGAATAAATCTGTGAGGAAAAACATGAATAACCAGGTTTCACATGGAATATATCTATATACCTATCTCATGGCAGATGGCTTATCCTATTCTACTACACTTCAAGCTCCTTAGGCAACATTTAACTCAGTTTATTTACTAAACAAACTGGAGTAATTTACACAAAATTTAAATCTTACTAGGCACACAATACACATTTGTTCAGTGAATTCCTATTACCTGGTCACTTGAAATTTTTAATCAATATGCAACAAAAAAATTACAAGTATGCATATTTTTCTTTCAAATGATAATTTATTCCAACTACTAATTTTTTTACTTTTTGACCCTTTTGCTGAAATAGAAAAAATAAAAATCCTAATGAAGAAGGCTCACTGCTCCATTCAAATACATGAACAATGTAGCTATAGTAATACAGGTTGTGACTACTTAAAATGTTTGCATAGGTCTTGGCAAATTAAGTTGTATCACTGATTAAATAGTTCCCAGTTGTGTAAGGCTTATACTGCCAAATGTATTATGTTACTGAGTATGTGTTATGCTACCTTCAACGCACACATGAATAGAATTTCTGTAGCAATAATAGCTATGATTGACAGTAGTGCTAAGGTTTTACAATAGTGTTTATTGGACACTCATCATGTATCAATAACTCTGAATTATGTCATTTTACCCATGAAGCATTTCACCCCTGAAGTACTTTATTAAACTCCACTTTACAGATGATTTAACTCAAAACCCAGAGAAGCTAGCCATTAGTTCAAAGACATATAACTAACTACATGGCAATAGAAGTGGGAAGTCAAACCAGTTCTGACTTTGAGGAATGAACTCTCACAAATTCTTTATGTTTTACCTAAGGCTATATTTATTTTCTAACTCATAAGCATACCAGGTAGACTTCTGGAGCAATAAAGCATGTGTCACCAAATTAGCAAGATATGAAAAATAACTTTAAATGGATATTGTATTTCCCTTGTTCCCACAGGTCAAATATATAATACTGAGAAAATATTTTCAAACATTCTACATCCAAGAAAGTTCTACAACCCTTTCATAACAAATTTTAAAAATGAAGTCGCCTACC